GGTCAAAGGGTGTGGAGGAAAAGAGGCATGAATCATTGCTGTATAAAAAATTAAAAAAATAGTAAAAAAAAAGTACGAAAAGCTATAAAAAAATAATGTGATCTAAAAAATAAAAAGACAAAAAAATGTTATTTTAATTCACCCTAAACAAGTTCCTATTTTGAGAAAGTGATCAAAAGTCACATTTTAGTTTTTAACTTATTTTGAATTATATCATCTTTTACATTTTTATACATTTTTAAAAAATAAAAAAAGTCAAAAAATTAATTTTAACTATCTTCCTAAAATAACCAAAAATAACATATGCATTCCATGTAAGCCCTCTTTTGAGAAAATAATAAATAATAAATAAAAATTTATTTATTTATTTATCTATTTGAATCACACTACTTCTTTATTTTTTATTTACTATTTCATAATAAGCTAATAATAAAAAATCCCAGAATAGGCTCAAATTGTTGTTTATTTGTTATATAAAAAATAAAAATTACATTTCACAACCATGGAAAGGAAAATAAATATAATTCAAACCTTCCACAACCATACATAAAAAAAAAAAAAAAAAATAGCACAAACAAGTTCATTCCAAACAAAAAAATAGTACGAAATGACTAAAAAAACACAGTAAAAAAAAAAAGCACGAAAAATACTAAAAAAATAGTATGAAACGACATAAAAAAATTAAAAAAATAGCAAAGAAAGTCGTACGAAAAGATATAAAAAAAAATAATGCGATCTAAAAAATAAAAAGACAAAAAAATGTTATTTTAATTCACCCTAAACAAGTTCCTATTTTGAGAAGCTGATCAAAAGTCACATTTCAGTTTTTAACTTATTTTGAATCATATCATCTTTTATATTTTTTATACATTTAAAAAAAAAGTCAAAAATTAATTTTAACCATCTTCTCTTTTATATTTTTTATACATTTAAAAAAAAAGTCAAAAATTAATTTTAACCATCTTCCTAAAATAATCCAAAATAACATATGCATTCCATGTAAGCCCTCTTTTGAGAAAATAAAAAATAAAAAATAAAAAGTTATGTATTTATCTATTTGAATCACACTATTTTATTTTTTATACACTATTTCATAATAAGCTAATAAAAAAAAAAAATCTCAGAATAGGCTCAAATTGTGGTATATTTGTTATATAAAAAATAAAAATTACATTTCACAACCATGAAAACGAAAATAAATATAATTCGAACCTTCCACAACCATACATAAAAATATATATATATATACATATAGTACAAACAAGTTCATCCCAAATAGTAGGAAATGCTTAAAAAAACCAAAGTAAAAAAAATAGTACGGAAAATAGTATGAAATGATATAAAAAATTAAAAAAAAGTACGAAAAGATATAAAAAATAATGTGATCTAAAAAATAAAAAAGACAAAAAAATGTTATTTTAATTCAGCCTAAACAAGTTCCTATTTTGAGAAAGTGATCAAAAGTCACATTTCAATTTTTAACTTATTTTGAATCATATCATCTTTTATATTTTTTATACATTTCAAAAAAATAAAAAAAATCAAAAATTAATTTTAACCATCTTCCTAAAATAATCCAAAATAACATATGCATTCCATGTAAGCCCTCTCTTGAGAAAATTAAATTTAAATAATAAATAATTATGTATTTATCTATTTGAATCACACTACTTTTTTATTTTTTATATAATATTTCATAATAAGCTAATAAAAAAAAATCCCAGAATAGGCTCAAATTGTGGTATATTTGTTATATAAAAAATAAAAATTACATTTCACAACCATGAAAACGAAAATAAATATAATTCGAACCTTCCACAACCATACATAAAAAAAAAAAAAAAAAAAAAAAAAAAAAAAAAAAAAAAAATTAGTACACAAAAGTTCATCCCAAACAAACAAATAGTAGGAAATGCTTAAAAAAAACAAAGTAAAAAAAATAGTACGAAAAATACTAAAAAAATTGTATGAAATGATATAAAAAATTTTAAAAAAATAGTACGAAAAGATATAAAAAAAATAATGTGATCTAAAAAATAAAAAGACAAAAAAATGTTATTTTAATTCACCCTAAACATGTTCCTCTTTTGAGAAAGTGATCAAAAGTCACATTTTAATTTTTAACTTATTTTGAATCATATCATCTTTTACATTTTTTATGCATTTAAAAAAAAAAAAAAAGGTAAAAATTAATGTTAACCATCTTCCTAAAATAACCCAAAATAACATATGCATTCCATGTAAGCCCTCTTTTGAGGAAATAAAAAATAAAAAATAAAAAATAAATAATTATGTATTTATTTATTTGAATTGCACTACTTTATTTTTTATATATTATTTCATAATATGCTAATAAATAAATAAATAATCCCATAATAGGCTCAAATTGTGGTATATTTTTTATATAAAAAATAAAAATTACATTTCACAACCATGAAAAGGAAAATAAATATAATTCGAACCTTCCACAACCATACATAAAAAAAAAAAATGATAGTACAAACAAATTCATGGCAAAAAAAAAAAAGTACGAAATGATTAAAAAAACATGGTAAAAAAAATAGTATGAAAAATAGTAAACGAAAATAGTATGAAATGATATAAAAAAAAAATAGTACGAAAAGATATAAAAAAATAATATGATCTAAAAAATAAAATGATAACAAAATGTTATTTTTATTCACCCTAAACAAGTTCCTATTTTGAGAAAGTGATCACAAGACACATTTTAGTTTTTAACTTATTTTGAATAATATCATCTTTTATATTTTTTATAATTTTTTAAAAAAATAAAAAAAGGTCAAAAAATTAATTTTTAACCATCTTCCTAAAATAACCCAAAATAACATATGCATTCCATGTAAGCCCTCTTTTGAGGAAATAAAAAATAAAAAATAAATAATTATGTATTTATTTATTTGAATCGCACTACTTCTTTATTTTTTATATATTATTTCATAATATGCTAATAAATAAATAAAAAATCCCAGAATAGGCTCAAATTGTGGTATATTTGTTATATAAAAAATAAAAATTACATTTCACAACCATGAAAAGGAAAATAAATATAATTCGAACCTTCCACAACCATACATAAAAAAAAAAATGATAGTACAAACAAATTCATTGCAAAAAAAAAAAAAAAAAGTACGAAATGATTAAAAAAACATGGTAAAAAAAATAGTATGAAATGATATAAAAAAAAAATAGTAAAAAAATAGTACGAAAAGATATAAAAAAATAATATGATCTAAAAAATAAAATGATAAAAAATGTTATTTTTATTCACCCTAAACAAGTTCCTATTTTGAGAAAGTGATCACAAGACACATTTTAGTTTTTAACTTATTTTGAATAATATCATCTTTTATATTTTTTTATAATTTTTAAAAAAAAATAAAAAATAAGGTCAAAAAATTAATTTTTAACCATCTTCCTAAAATAACCCAAAATAACATATGCATTCCATGTAAGCCCTCTTTTGAGAAAATAAAAAAATAATTATTTATTTATTTATTTATTTGAATCACACTACTTCTTTATTTTTTATATATTATTTTAGAAAAATTCTATTTCCACACACTTAATTACCTGAGTGCATATCTTCTCTCAGTACACACACTTATTAATTTGATTTTTAATTAATTTTCTCAATCTATACACTAAAAGTTATAATTATACCCTTCACTCATAATTATTATACACACACCACTCAACTCTCATTTTCACACTTTTTTTTGTTTTTTTTTGTTTTTAATATGTTTTTCGATTTGGAGATTTCGACATTGATTTTTCACAATTATACATTTAATTTGAAATTTAACTTCTGAATAAAAGTGATTAGTTTGACAAATTTGTTCCCAAAAAAAAAAAAAAATTTAACAGTTGATGTCTGAATATAATGAAATAATTCAGTATTAGTTGTCTGATTGAAAACTGCGGAAAAAAAAAAATTTTTGCACGAACAAACTAACATTTTCATCACTAATAAAATATCAATTTAGAGATTAAAACAATATGAGAGTTGTTATAAGAGTAATGATTTGCAAACAATAGAAGAATATAAAGTGTGTAATAAGCAAAGTAACAACAATAAAAAAATTAAAATTTATTTTTTTTAACTCAAAATGTGTACATTGAGATTTTTTTATTTATTTGTAAAAGAAATGTATAGAGAATATTTTCATATAATATTATGGGTGTTAGTAAATGTGAATTATAATCATTTTAGTTTAATATATACTTGTCATTAAAATAATATTTCATTAAATATGTGCATTAAAATAATTAAGACCTCGTTTGGGAACATGTTTTTTTAGTAATTTTTTGACTTTTTGGTTAAAATGTGATGTAAAAAAAAACGTTTGGGATGACTTTTTAATTTTTTACGAAAAGATGTGCAAAAAGTAAAGAGAAAAATGAATCTTTGACTTTTAGTATGAGTTGTTGACTTTTTAATTTTTTTAGTAACTTTTTAACTTTTTGACTAAAAAGGACACTTGCCAAACGAGGCCTAAAGAGGTGTAAATAGAATTTCTCATTATTTCATAATGTGCTAATCAAAATAAAATTCCCATAACAAGCTCAAGTATCAAACTCAACGTCCACTCTCCAAAAAAAAAAAAAAGAAGAAGAAGAAGAAGAATAAGAAGAAGAATGAGGAAGAAAGGGTCTAATCCAATAAACCCATAACCAAAATGCAAATCATTCATCATCATCATCATCATCATAATCATCATCATATCATCAAATAACATAATCAGACCAGTGAGACATAAACGAAGTATGACCCTGTTTGGTAGAGCTGTGCGAAAGTGCTTATAGCTTATACCTTAACAGCTTATAGCTTATAACTATGAACATAAACTGATTTCTGACTTATAAATTAAGCATCTCCTGCCCCACTCAAAGAATAAGCTGATTTCTGACTTACAAAAAGCTATAAGCTGCATTGTTAAGCTAAACCAAACACATCAAAATAACTTAAATTAAGCTGAAAGCTAAAATAAGTAGCTTTTAAGCTGCACTAAACAGGCACTATGATCCATAGACTCCCCTGGCACATCATCATGAACCTTCGACTGTTCCTTCCCGCCCACCAATCTCACCGGATTCCCCATCGCCGTCGTCCACGGCGGCATATCTATCAACACCACCGACCCCGCCCCTATCTTCACCCCCTCCCAAATCTTCACGTGCCCCAAAACCATCGCTCCAGCCCCAATCAAAACCCCATCTCCAATCTTCGGATGTCTATTCCCACCCACGTTCCCAGTCCCCTCCAATGTCACATGATGAAGAATCGACACATTGTTCCCGACCACCGCCGTCTCTCCGATCACCAATCCCGTCGCATGTTCCAACAAAACCCCCTTTCCGATCCTCGCTGCCGGGTGAATATCGACGGAGAAGACATCGGAGACTCGGGAATGGAGTGCGAGGGAAATGGGTTTTCGGTTCTGGATCCAGAGCTTGTGGGCGACCCGGTGGGCTTGGAGAGTGAGGAAGCCTTTGTAATTGAGGAGGCAGTGGGAGGAGAGGCAGGCCGGGTCGCAGATCCGGGCGGCGCGGAGGTCTGCGACGGTGGTGGAACGGAGGGAGGAGTCGGAGGAGAAGGTGTTGAGGAAGAGGTCGTAGAGGAGGGTGGAGGAGCAGAGCTTGTTGCCAAGGTGGAAGGAGAGAGATCGGGAGAGAGAGGAGTGAGAGACGATTGTTGAGTAGAGGTAGCTTGCGAGTGCTGGTTCGGATTTGGCGCCACGCTGGGCTTCGGCTTTGATTTGGGTCCATACCCACGTCTCCTCGTCGATTTCGCCGGCGTTTGACGGTAGTGGTGGGAGTTCTTGGACTGGCATTGGTGGCGGCGGAGTTGGATTAAACGTAGAGGATTTTAGTTGGTTTTTTGAGAGTGAGAGAGAGGATACAAAGGAGGTTTGATAGTGGTCAATTTACGATAGATTCGAAATTGGTGGTGTAAAATCACGGATGGAGTTATTTAAAAAAAATGGATAAATTATAAACACATGTTTTTGAGATTTATTTAAGTTATAAATTATCTTATGTAATTTTAAAAATTATATTATACTTTTTAAAATTTTTAATTTTATAATAAATAAGTCATTTTATTAATAAATTATTAAGTTAATTAATAATTTTTAATAATGTTAAAATTTTATTTCATTTAATAATTCAGATAATTTTATTATTGTATAGGTGAATAGTTAGAAATTTAACTTTTTTCAATTAATTCTGTTAAATGAAAAATTCTAATAAAGAAGTATTTGTAATTTTTTAAATCACAGGAAACAGTTTGTATTTTAAGTAAATCTTAGAGATGTATTTATAATTTATCAAAAAAAAAATTATATTGACTGAATGTTTTTAATTATATAATTAAATGAATATGTATGAGAGAGTTGATATAAATATAATCTAATTAACTATTGTTATATTTAATTAACATAATTTTTTATAAAAAAATAATATATTTAATAAATTACACACATTAAATAATTTGAATTATTAAGATTGATCAGAGCAAGGTCCATCATGGGCAACAACACTTTCTAGTTCAAACTATCTCAACTGAATAATGTATTATCCATTAATGAAAAATTATAAAAAAAAATTAAATTATTAAATTTTATCTCTCACTAATTTAAAATAGGGAGATTTATTAGCCTCCGTTTGGGAAGTGTGTTGGCTTTTTGGCTTTTTGAATTTTTTAGTTATTTTAGCCTAGGTTAAAAAACTTGGTTTGAGAAGGACTTTTTGGCTTTTTGATTTTTTTTTGTGAAAGAAGAGTATAATGATTAGGGAGCATCTATTTGCACACACTCAATCCTCTATTTGCACATCCTTCTCAATTCACACACCTAAAAAAATAAAAAATAAAATATTTGCTCATTACACACACATTTATTCCAATTATGTCCTCCATTTTTTACGACTTTCCAACCCTCCCAATCCACATACCTTCCAGACCGGCGACCACCTCGCCGGCGGAGACGCAACACCGTCATTACCACCTCCCTTCCAGTCGCCATTCCCACTTCCTCCTCCACCCATCGGCGACACTACCGCGACGCCCACCCCATCCCCTCGATATCTCTCTCTCTCCATCCCCTCTCAGTCGTGAAAAGGGGGCTTCGGATGTTGATTCTTTCCAGATCTAGGCTGTGTGTGTATGTGTGTGCGTGTACGAGCGCAAAATTGAGGGTTGCGAAGGGATGGAAACTGCGGCGGCGGTGGTGTTGCGTCCCGAAGTGAGGGGTTACAGGGGTGGTGGGAAGGGGGAGTGATCGACGAACGATGGGGTGGGGTAGGGCTTCAATTCAAGAAGATAGAGGCTGGAGGGAGGCGACGGAGGGAGGAAGGAGATGTCTGGAGGGGGAGGCTCTGTGTTGGGTATTAGGGTTAGGGTTTTGGTTTTGGTTTTGGTTGAAGAAGAAATGGATATTTTGATAATTTTATTTTAGGATAAAAATGTAATAAAAAAAATGTCATTAAGTGTGTGAGGAGAGGGGAAGTGGTGTGTGCAAATAGAGGCTCCCATAATGATTATCAGTTAGATGTGATATTTTATTTTTTGTGACTAAAATAGCCTATTTTGTCTTTTGTGGCTAAAATAGTCAAAAAAAAAAAAAAAAAATCTCAAATAGCTTTTCCAAAAAAGCCCCCAAATAGCTCTTCCCCGAATAGCTCTTCCCAAATAGAAAATCATTTTTCAAGTATTTGTATTCTAATTAGTCTATAGGATATTTTTATATTTTAATAAGTCCTATTATTTGAACATTTAATCTACCAAATCATAATTATCATATTTAAAGTATTTTATAGATATTTCTATCCTTACAAATATTTTTTGAACAGTTAGTAATTTAGTGATGTGAACCTTCATATTTTAAAATGTAAATATTCATATTGACATGTAAATTTCACATTGACAGTACGAACATTCACATTGACATGTTAACATTTACAATGCTGGTGCGAATATTCACATTGACGATATGAGCATTCATATTGCCGGTGTGAACATTCACATCACTAAACATTCACACTGTAAATGTGAATATTATTAGGGATATTTTGATAACTATGTCACTTATAAAACTTATTGGAATATAAAAAAATAATGTAAATTATATAGAACATAAATAGGTAAAAAAGAATTTATAAAAAAGTGCCTCTTTAAAATTAGTATAATATTTATTACGAATTTAAATTGTTTTTTAGATAAATGATACTGCTACATCAGACCTGGAAGACGGAGATAGACCGGTGTTTGGGATGCGGGTACATGCAATGGATTTTCTTTGGGGGTGGAACGCGTGGTTGGTTATCTTGGAAGACGGAGATAGACATGTGTTTGGGATACGGGGTACATGCAATGGATTTTCTTTGGAGTGAAACGTGTGATTGGTTATATTGGATTATGGGTGTTTTGAGAAGATGATTAAAAGTTAATTTTTATTTTTTTTTAATTTTATTGTGAAAGAGAAAAGTGAATTAAAAGTTAAGAAGTGACTTTTAACCAACTTTTCAAAACACCCTAATAATATATAGCTTTAAAAGTAAAATTTTAATTTGAGTTGATAAGAAAATATATATATATATATATAAATATATCGATGATATTATATGTATTAATTAATATATTAGCTAGTGTATTAATATTAGTTATGATATTATTAGTGACCTCACTCATTATATAAATTACAAATACTAAAACATTTTAAATTATGTTACATTATTAATTGATATACTAATTAATACATTGTTGGCTTTTTGACTTTCGAAGGTTATTATTGTAATTTTGAGCGTGCCAGCAAGGATCAATCAGTCCTTACAGAATATTAACTGCCAACCAATTATCAGATGATTGTGTTTTAGTTCTTTTAGCCTCAATGAAGATGACTTTTACTGGTGGCTTTATTTAGGAGAATTAAGCAAACAACGATTAATATGAAGAACAATTGTAACATTTCATTAAGTAAAATGGAAGACTTACAAAGATCCAAATCAGCCTCGTAGAGGTTTACAGTAACAAACTACTCGAAACTATTCTTATGAACGAAGTGCAGTGCAGGAATTTGAAGTACAGAAATGTAAAGAACAAGAAATGTAAAAACTGGAAGGAAAATAAAGTAGATAAAACTGATTTTTTGGACCTGAGTCTGGGGCTCTTTCTGGGGCCTTCTCTGCTATTTATACTTCTCAATGACAACCGTCGAAATGAACTTCTAACTGTCGAACCACCCCTCCATGATCACTGATGTTTCCTTACAGTTAGCTCTACTATGTCATATCTGCAGTTTAGGCTTCCCTCCTGATTTTGAATTTAAATATATGTATAACCGTTAAAGGCCACGTCATCTTGTATCTCTTTGCTGATCCAGTGCTATGCAGATCTTTAATAGCCAATACTAACTGCCACGTGTGTGATTACGATTAAAAACTTGAACTGTCTTCCCGTATTGTCCTCATCCTGCCACGTGTTGGACTGTGATTGGCCTGTACAAAATATGAAGCCAACATTACCCCCCGCACTAATATACCCAAAATTTGGTGATATTAGTGGATCAATGTATTTATCCACGTCCTAGAATGTGCATGGGCTTTGCATTTTTCAAAAATGCAACCGTCATTCATCAATGAACATTTGCATTAAATTTTCTTTTATCCTTTGAACATTCCCACTATCTCAGTATTCAAAAAGACTGGTACAGCTCTTATGGCCAAACATACCTTTTCTTGCCTCGATCAAGCATATGAAGAGTTGTTTGATAATGTTGCTCGTCCTCGAAAGAACCTTCATGCATTGATTAGCCACCTTTATCTGCCTCTATTTATGCAAGTTATGGAAGTTTTCGCAAATCATCGACCTTCTAACCAAGAACCTACTGCTTACGATTCTTTGGAGCAAAGATTTGCAACTATGGATATTGAAAGCTCTTCTTCTGCAGCAAAGCATTCTGCGTGGGATGAAGCTGCTGCTTCTTCTTCTTCCACGACCTCTGGCTGGGGAACTTGGTCTACCCCTACTCAACCTCAGACGAGGGAATGCATTCATCACCGATTCCCTGAATTCGATGACCCTCTTGAAATCTCCCATTCCAAACGCAGTTTTGTAGTATATCCATATGTTCCTATTGATCGTATACGCAGTCTTGAGGGCAATCTGCTTTCAGAATGGTATACTTCTACCTTGCCATCTCGGATGGTTCGAAGTGTCCCACGTCCTAATGAAGCTTTAGGGATCAGTCCTGCGCTTTTAGCCAAAAAAGCAAAACTTTATACTTCCGATTGGCTAGAATGTGTGGCCAAACTTGAATTTCTAGATTCATTCAAGGAACCTCCGACTGCTCTTCCCCTGCCTTCCAATCCAAATTAGATTGATGAATTGAGGCTCATTCTTTCTGAGGGCCAATACTTCACTCCCTAACAGGCACCAGTGCCTCCAACTCCCTATCAGCAATTTAGGGCTCAGACCTTGCTTGCCGATTTTTCCCATTTATCCTTTAAAGTCCTTCGAGATGACATTCTTCACAAAAACTTTCTATGGGCTTGTGATATTATGTCTCAAAGTCATCTTCTCAACCCTGTGGCCCAAATAGAGCTTTATACCTTTTTAGACCAACTTCCTCTCTTGCTCAACTGGCACTTCGTTGCTTCCATTACCAGTGAAGTTCTAGATGAAGCCTTCTTTGCTCGAATTCAGGTTCAGTATAAGGCATAGAACCTCCTTGATGAATATGAGGCCTTCAGGAGCCAAGATTTTGAGCATGGGGAGGATGTTTCTATGCATGAAGAAGAGGAGATGGACGCTACATATAAAACCCTAAAACAGATA